CCCCACTGTTCCCTTAAGTGTTCAACAAGTCCATTTTTGTAACAAATTAACTCTAGATACACACTCCCACACACGAATTCTTTAAACCACCCACATGGTACACTTACACCCTTGCTTAAATTATAGTAATCCCATTCTCATCCACTAAAACACCAACTTCCACCAAACCCGATAATAAAAATACGGAAAAATGAAGCTAGTCGAAACATTTGGCCGCTGCAATGTTTGCCCTTTTGATGCCATTTGGCAGAACGTGACGCTTTATTTGAATCCACAAGGACACAACAGCTCAGCGTTCAAAAATGCTGATAGAATTTTCTTTTAATAATATTAAACCCTTCCTGGTCAGATTCCCCCACACAGTTTAACAATAAATAGCACATCCTTTTACTATAGTCCTCCGTAGAATCCCAGTGTTGCATCTATGCACAGTACTTCAGTAGACCGGACCCTGAGCAACAAGATCGTGTTTCTGTGCAAACAGCTGCTCAAGACTTCAGTCAGGACTCAATCCGAACCTTTAGGTCCTTCTTTTGTAACCTAGGACCCCATCTGCTCAGCTGCAGCAAGATTTTTTGCCTCTTGTACCAAGTCCCATAGAGAGGAAAACATGGTGATTTCCCTTGTTTGAAGACCCATCTTCTGAATCTAGGGAGAACAAAAAATACTTGTGATATTATGTAAATGGTGTAACATTATTTAAGGTTTCAGTGTTTTTCTTAGATAATATTTGTTATTGCTGGGTAAGACGTTTAATTTAAATATGCAACACACAGCAGGAAGAACTTATATAGGTATACAATATGGGGGGAAAATATACTACACTTTCGTTTTAGACGCAATTGAAAAATAAAATGCAGTGCAAACTATATTAACTCGAGCAATGCAGTTAATATAGTTTGTTCCAGAAACCTGGCATTCGATCACAAAATAACATACATGGGTAAAGTTTGATGAACAAACTTTGATGATGGCTTATAATGTTGCTTGTTATGGAGAACATCTGTATAGCGGTTAATCTGATTGGTCAGTGGGTAGAGGTAAAAAACTATGGGCGTTGCAAAAAAACATAAACCTGTTTAGCTCACAAAAAAAGAAATGCAGGATTACACAAACATGCATGAACGATTCTGAATGAGACATGTTCTTGATGAGGAAACAACACTAAAATATAGAAAAGTTGATTTTGCATAATCTTGCCCCTTTAAGTAATTATTTGTTTGGATAATGTACCGTATTGTGAAAAGCGTTTAGGCTCGTTTGAAAAAAAAATGTTGGGTACAATTGGAACGCAACAATACACAAAGCTCACGGTTTGGTACATTCCTCAGTTTTTAACCACGGTTTTCAGCTTGGTTTTGATGGCTTAGCAAATTAACATAAACATTGTTTATATAAAGCACCCGTTTATTGTGGATTCACTAGTTTGCGACGTGATGGGACTTGCACAGAACTTTTCAATGCACCTCGCAGTCTCTCTAGAAACTCGCGATGTTGTGATCGCGCAAATTCACACAAATTCAGCCAATCCCTGCGATTTATTTACGGCCTTACAATTTCATCCAATCACCGCGACTTTACCGCAAATTCGACCAATAACTTTGGTCCGTCACTGTACGCGGCATTATTTCACACACACTCACCTGCAAATATCACAGCGAGAGACCGTGCAAAGCAATTCCATAATGTTCTCCATGAAAGTGGAGGGAAACTCTTTTGCTCTGTGTGCAACATTGTCGTGGAACAAAAAAAAAATCCCGCAACTTTCCACAAAGCTGTCGCAAAATCTGGCATTTTATGCCGCAATAATCACAAAAAAAATGCCACGAAATCCTGGAGGGACTGACTTTGGACTTTATTTGTGTCCTGGGTGAAAACTCTTAATTCTCATTTGAACAACTTCTTGCTATTCTATTTGAGTTGTGACTGGTGGTCTTTACGCACTACATTACCCATGACTCCCAAACTACAAGTCCCAAAAGGGCAAACAGCATGGCTGTTAGAGAAACGGGGGTAAACGGTGCATTTCGCAGAGGCAAAAAATACAATGTGATTTAAAGATCTGTTTTTATGATTAATAATGCACTTAGAAAGTTCCTAACGGTGCAGTGCTAGTACAGAGGGCTCAAATATTTATTAGAACTTATTTCCACAAGTGTCCTGAAACAAACCTAACCATGTCTGTTCTTTGCAACCTATGTACATTCACCTCAATATCAGGTGACCTTAGCCTTCATTCTCACATTTAAGAACATCACACTAAAGATTTCGAGTGTCGCCAAAGGATTCTGTACATTCTCACCTGACACATACACAAAATGCTCTGCAACTTTAACGTGACTTGAGCTTGATCTGCAGGGCTCTAGAGTGCGACCAATTTGGTCGCATATGCGACCTAATTTCTCAATGGTGCGACAAAAAAAAATCAAAGGTTGCACCGGTGCGACCCGTCGTTCGAGGGGTGAAAAAAAACTAAACTCCGTCTACGGCCGGTCCGCCTCCTGCGCGCGGCTCACAACACGCGTATCACCCATTCATGCGGCTCAATACGCGCCTATCGCGGCAAGCGCGCCGCTCAATTCGCGTTTACCGCGCCGCTGAAGCCTCAGACGCGCGCAAACGCGTCTTTGCATTGACTTAACATGGAAACACTCCGCGCTTACCGCGCGTACCGCGTTCAATGTGACCGTACCTTTTCAGCGGCAGGCAGCAGCAAACAGATCATCAGACGAGGCCGAGATGATAATTAAGTTTTACGTTGCCTACAATATTGCAAAAGAAGAACTCCCTTCACTAAATTCAAGTCCGAAATAATTCTTATGAAGAAAAATGGCTTGAACGTTAACTCGACGTACAGCAATGATGTCACGCGCACCCAATTTATAGGAGTCATCACAGATACATTGAAAAAAAAGACGTCTGTGCAAATTGTGAACAGTGCGTACATGGAATTCCTGATCGACGGAGACACATATATCGCCACAAAGGAATGCATCATTGTGTACAGTCATATCTTGCAGAAAGGAAGACCGATGAATATATTATTGAACACATTGAGGTCGAGCATGCTCATGCCCAAGGTAAGCCATGTCATGTTATGGAGCCTATGTCAATAATATGCCTACCGTCTCGTTACTGCATTAACCATAATATTCTGACACTTAAAAATGAAAAATAAATAAATAGGCTGCATTATAAACTCTTGATCTGGGTAGTAAATGGTATTATCGTTTTTATTTGTATTTGCTGCTCTTAGGGACCAAAATCAGTTTAAAGTTTAAATTTCAGCTCAGTAAAGCACTTTAAACACCTTTTCAGTAAGTTTTAGTTACCTTTCTTGTGGAATTGTGCTTCAAATAAAGAACTTTATTTTGACCAGGTTGTTAGTTAATCATTTACAAGTCAATATTGTCTATGGACAGTGATTTAAAAAAAATAAATGAATAGATAACTAAAAAAAGTGAACTTGTGAAAATGGGGTGTTAAATGTGATGCAGTTGAAAATTTGGGTGCACCTAACTTTTGTGCTGGTGCACCTAAGAAAAAAATTTAGGCGCACCAGTGCAACCAGTGCAAAAAGTTAGTCTAGAGCCCTGATCTGTGAGAGAATAATTGGGCTAAGAGATGTTTTTTCAAAGAGAACACTAAAAAAACTTTCTGAAACGGAGCAGTGTTGTGCAACTCTGAAGCTTTGCCCCAGAAGCTTTTTGCACTGCGTAACACTGCTCTCATTTTTAAGACCTTTGAAACATACTCTGAATGCCTTTTAAAGACCGATTATCAAATTGTGGGATTTAAAGCTCATAAATACCCTTTATGGATGAACGCACATCAAAACTAGCTTCCTGTGGTTCAATGAATATGGCATTAACATCGACCAATGGTTTAGAATCTCTGAGAAAGCAAGTACCGATCAAAATAATTTTTATTGCAATGTTTCTGCTGCCCAGGTGGGGTGAGGTTTAGGAGACCATGCAGGTTAATAGATCTAGGAAATGAGGCTTCAGGTGATGCTATGAGGTCATTTGTACAGAGCATCGACAATCAACCAAAAACAAACCTGTTCTCCAAGATATTCCACATCCAGTGCCAGCTGCAGGCGGATCTTAGTGTCATCAGATGGCCCAACATTGGTACTGACTGAGCTGGTGGTGGTGGTTTTCCTGGCCTGTTTCAGCCTCTTTAGGCTTTCCTCCATCTTCCTTACTGAGCTTAGCACATCTGAGATAGTCTCAAAATATCTGTTGAACACAAAGAACAGTCAATGGTCCTCAAAGCTACAAAAGGTAGAGTATAGTGTAGTAATACCTATGGGTGCACTCGGAGAGTGTGACTCGAAGCCACTCCTGAATAATGGAGTCTTTCAGCACATCTTTGGAGTCAGTTACCAGCTGATGGAGTGGCCGAAGTGCATTGTCCATATAGGCTGAGGCTCTGATGGGGACCTCCTGGTAATAAAAAACAACTTTCAGGGCATGTCTCTCTTTTGCAGCTTTTAAGATCAGGGTTAATTAGAATAGACCACAAAAAGTCTCTCGTAATTTTTTTTATTTCGCTCTTAAAGTGCATAGCCACAAGGTAAATACATTTTAATTTATTAGTGGTGTAACAATATATTCTAGCACAATATAACCAGATACAAAAACATGAGTCACTGAGAAATATTGTCTAGAAACTTCAGCACATTTAAACACCATGCAAACAAGCATTTTAACCCTTAGGAGTCCCTGCAAACTACTGTTATATATTTCAAATATAATGTGTAGGTTTCATAAATGTTATTAGTTTTGATATTTTGTGTTTTAAATTTACAATACAAGAGTTGGCACATAATTTGCAAAGTAATTCATATTAAAATGTGAGAAAATGTGAGACAGTCTTAAGTTTTACAGAGGTAAAATCTGTGCCTTCAGTGCCATCTAGTGGTGAAAAGAAGGGATAACTCCTGGAAGTACAAGACCTGTGATGGCCCTTTTTGGTGTCACGGGGAAAATATGATGCGCCCAAAGTGGGGCACGAACCAAAAACCTTGAGATTAAGAGTCTCATGCTCTACCGACTGAGCTAGAAGGGGAAAGACGCCAGGTACGGCTTCAAAAATCTGGCACAAAGCAAAGTACAATGAAACAAAAAGTGCTTGGAACATTCACGGGAGGTTTTTCCACATTGTTTTGACCTTGCTTTGGTTTTTAGGGGGATTTATGAATTTTTATTTTGTGTCAACATTTGATTTTTGTTGTAAAACATTTTTTTGCAGTTAAAAAAGTTACAAAAATATACTACTCAGAACTGTATTTTTGTACAATTTCAGGCTTGTTGTGGAATTATTGTTTAATTTAATTAAAAATATTTGTAAAAAATATTTGTAAAAAAAAAAAAAAGAAAACAAAACACAAAAAATTGTTCAAAGAAATTATTAGAGCAAATGGTAAACTATTAAAAATGCTCAAAAAGACCCTGGACATCTAAGGGTCAAAAAAGAACAAAATTATAATTGAAATGTTCAGATCGCTCAGAGAGATGGCACTTCTAGTCATTTCTGAAACTTCTTTAGATTGGTGTTCCTTTGAAGCTTTTGTTTTTATTTGTGAGAAGCTTTGCTGCCTCCCTGTTAATCTTGACCATGAACTCCAGTATTCGGTCTCTTAATGCCGGAGGGGTTATAATAAAACAGCACATACAGCTCAGAGTTTCTCTTTCAGGATGTGTGTATGAAGATCTTTCCCAACATATATTTGTGCTCAAAATGTTGCATAAAATCCTCAAATAAGTGTGTGCCCAGCTCATCACCAGCACTAGCTTTGTTTAAATTCAAATGAGTATGTTTATACCAGGGTTAAACCAGACTTTTCACCAGGCATTTACAGTCTCAGAGGTGCTCCTAAATGTATTTTCAGGTTGCACTGGCTGAATGTTTTTGGCACATTTGGGATATGTCACAATTTCAAACCATAGGAAATGGCATCACGTAACCCTAGAGAGGATATCAAGTTTTCTATTCATGGAATTGATAAAAATATGAACAGCCAGAGATGAAAACAAATAGACTTAGGGAAAAATGTAAAAACGTAAATAAGTTTAATTTTAGTTAGAAAAAAATAATAAAAAAATGTTACTGTCAATTGAATTAATTGACATTTAATAAAAAAACTAATTTGTACTTTTACTTTCCAATCCTCTGAATTATTGTTATTAATAATATTTTTATTATTATTATTATTATTACTCTAAGGTACCAAGTTCCAAGTCAAAAGGACAGAAAAATTAATAAACAATTGACTACTTAATTCTAAAATGCTTATAAAACCCTTGAAATTGCCATATTTAGTGGAACTGAAAAAAGACACTGAAAACACTGAAAATAAGATAAAAATAAATTATAAAAAAAAGCTATGAAGTCAAATAAGAAATGACATCAAAATTCTATGACAAACATTCAATTTTTATTCCTGATCTTGGCAACAATTTCCAGGTTCCACTTCCAGTCGATCTACTGTGCCATTAATAACTAAAAAAGGCAAAAAGCCGCATTAAAAATATCTTTGAAAAACCAAAAAAAAGGAAAATTTATTCCACAATAATCTTGTTTTTATCAGAAAACATATGCTAGCAGGAAAACTTGCCAAGACAACTGTATGATCACCAATGTGCATTATTAATAGTACATATGGTCCCATAACAAATGTATTAAAGTGTGATACTTAAGAAAGACAGAAACTGTCTTATATAGAGGTTAATTGTACATTTACAAGGGTCCAGTTGGGACCGGACAGGAGTAGAAAGCTTGAGAAAATCAACCAAAACTTTTAGGAATACTAGGAACCAAAACGTTTTTTTTTTAGTCTTTAAAACGAACATGTGCATCCAACCTTGTTGGTCCTTCTGTAGAGTCGTGGGACCTCTGAAGCATTTTTCAGGAAGCGAGCGCTCCTTTCGATCAGGTGCTGAGTCATTCTGCTGTTCAGGGTGGGGACACAAGCAGACAGGGACGTCCTGGAATCCTGCAAGGCTTCTGGAGAACCAATGAGGAAAGAAACTCATAAACTCGGTAAAAAAAAAAAAAAAAAAAGTTAAGCTTGACGAACCAGAAACTACAGCAAACTGTTGAAATCCAATTCCATCCAATTTGGCTCGGATCATCTCTGAGATTTCAGGTATCTGAAAACAAAGAGAAACGTTCCTCACCTGATTCAGTTATTTCTCATAAGGTCTCACATCTTCTGTGCTACCTGGTCGTGTAACTTATCAACATCGGCAGCAAGGAAGACAAGCTGCATAGTTGACAAAACAGTGGGGCCGGCTGTTTCGCTGTCTGCATCCTGTGATGTGCGGCTGGACGTAGAGGAGGCAGAGCTCGGCAGTGGCCTTGCGGAGTCTTTGCTGGGCTCTGATGGTGATGTTTTTGTCAACACCTGCAGAACCAAGAGGACAAAAATGAACAACCACCCTGTAATGACATATCGTTTCCATCAGAATGGCTTTACCTCTGTAAGAAAAGTTGAATATCTGGAGATCAGCTGCAGAGTTAGTTTCCAGAATCGGTGAGCGAGTGGAGCTATGTACACCTGCTCCGCCCAGCAGCTACAGACGCAGCTCCAGAGTGTCTCCGTCACTCGTAGGCGGAAGTTGCTCCCCGCTACAGTCGCAAATTAAAGCAAAACTAAATTGTCCCAAATGTTCACCAAAAACAACTTAAGTAAGCAGCGACATCACTTATTTTCCTTCCTTTGGAAGTGGCAAAACAAGTGGTAAGATGCAGAACCTCTTTCTGATGACTAAATACTTCATTTAAAAAAAGAATTGGACTTGACTGTGATCCCCAGAAATTACACATAGACTGTTTTTCCATGGACAGAGATTTTGCAAGAAATTGGGTTTCCTGACATTTATACGTTACTGACTTCAACACCGGGAAAGTACATAAAAGGCAGTATTGACACTCACATAGTTCAAGCCCTAAATTTATTAAAATACAAGATTAAAAGGGTGATGGCCAGATGGCAACCATGGAGTTGCAGAGGAAGCTATGTTGAGGTAGTTCTCCCCAAGTTTAGTCCAGTAGCACATGGGTTCGTAGTACGGGATCCAGCTAGATGCTTTGAATTTCCCTTGGACTTTGAATATCGATTGGATTGGAACATGCAACAACTTTCCCCAGCGTTTACGTGAGTCACGCACAAAAGTAATTTTGAGCAAGGCTTTTTGGAACTCACTTTACGAATTCTGGGTACTGTGATGTCATGGTCAAACATATTTAAGAAAATATTTTGTTGTGTGTTGTGTAAGCAATTTATTTGATTTCTATTATACATTTTGAGTTTAAACCAGCTTATAATTTTCTCTCCTTTATAAAAATGTTTTATTGTTAATAATATTCAACGTTAAAGGAACTAATTATGACAAATATTGAGGTCATTGTGTTCTTTATGTTTACTCTTTATCTGGTGTTGTGTTCTTAATAAAAGTTTTCAGAAAATTTCATTAAATAAACAATTTACAGTATTCGAATGCATTATATTGTACCATTGGTGTCATGACGCGCATCGGTGATAAATAGCCTTAAAGCGAACACTATTACACAGAACCCTGTCGATTGAATCTTTGGGACGCATTGATTCTCCTTTGACTGACCTGGAGCAGCCTCTAGTCCATCTGCAATCGCACTTTCTAAACTTCCAGCAATTTCTTTGAACCTGAAAAACAGAAAGTTGAGGACAAATCAAAGAGAAAAACTTCTAGAATAAGAAACAATTCATCTAGGAAATTCTACTTTAAATCACCTAAAATTCTACTGTCACTAGAAATCTGGAAAAAAAATATTTTGAATAATGTAATCCCACTAAATATAACAATAATTCCTCACATTTAACCACCAGTTTGTAGCATCCACCAAAAGGTGGCCAGAATATAATAGTGCTATAGCCGGTTCAAAGATGGCCAGTATTAGGAAGTCGTGATGTACTGAGACCAGTGGCCCAGAGTTACACCAAAACGCCTTTCTAAGGAACATCTTGGTATTTTTTCACAACCACAGAGAGGGCCTCAGTCTAACGTTTCATCTGATAATGATGGACATAAGGACCCACCCAGAAATCAGAATAATTATACAACTGCTTTTTTTGTTTTGTTTTAGATTTAAGAGGTTCATTAGTTCATTTATGGATCAGAATTAGGCTTAATCTGCTTGACTTTAGCCATGTTTCAGATGTACCCACTTTTAAATCAAAACTATGAAATAAAACTAGTTTTTGAAGAACTAGAAGAATGCTGGGATGCCATTATTTTTTACTGTAGTTTGCATTATTTTTAAATGTATTGTAATGTTTTTATACGTTTCATTTTGTATTTTTGATGTCATGATGTGGCACTATTTTAATAAACATTTAATTGAGTATTAGTTTGTGTACACAACCATCCGGCAGTACCCCTCCAGCTGTTTTATTTGTTAATTAATAAATCACAATTTTGAATGGCCTTTAAAAACAATTTAAAGTCAAAAATTCTTTAGCTTTAATTGTCTTTTAGTTTTAATTTTCTTCATTGCAACTTGTCCAATAAACATTTCAGATATCTTTAATTGGAATTATGATGAAACAAAATTAAATTACAGAATAGTACAGAAATAGTATTAAATGTTAAAATGGCTTGCTACAACAAGGGAGCTACTAAAAAAAGCTTCTTTGGCAACATACGCTGCATTAAAATCTGATGAAAGCTCTGTAAATGAGCTTTGTGTATTTTTTCTAGCACAATACACTTGATTTTATTAATCTCACTGTCGTATTCAAAGAAATCCCATATAGGGCTCTGCTGCTTTCTTCCAACTTTAGCCATTCAGTTTGAGGTCAAACACGCATGCACAAGCTGACTGTAAATAAGAAGAAATGGAAAGGAAGTGTTTAACGCTATAACCTAGAACTATGGATTGCCCTGGATTGCACTGTGGACATAAATCTTAAAAAAAAATGAAGCAAAGAAATGTATAAATAAAGATGAAAATGAAGAGCAATGTGTGTATACTTGTACTTGTTTATTTATTTTTGGTTAGTTTTGCATACACAATACAGTTTCAGT